TGAGACTCAGAGGCACCAAGGTCCCAAAAATTGCAGCCCATGCGAGGCAGACCGATGCAGGCCATACAGACAACCTTGGAATAAGAGCAGGCTCCTTTTTACAGATACCAGTGGGCAGGAGGCACCAACATGCTGGTGTCATATGGCAAAGAAGAACGACTTCCAGATAAACAGATGTCAACATGGTGATGGATCGAGAGCTGACACAGCAAAATACATAGACCTGAATGGGAGAAAAGTCCTATTAAAGATGGGTAGTTTGGCATGAATCTCCAGGTCTCGTCATGTCAACATCAGAGCAACGGTCCGGACTGAGAAAAGCCCCTGCTCCTTCCCCTCACACTTAACTTGCCTGGCCAGTAAGTGAATGTGAGCAACAGACTGGTAACTTTAAGCAACAACAGGACTTATGTGTTGTGTGTGTGTGTGTGTGTGTGTGTGGCCTTATCGTTTCTGAAGCATATGCTAACAGTTTTTCTACTGTGTTCACAAGAGGGCGTTGTTGTACAGTCGATCAGGCCGCACTACAGGGCATTTTGATCAGCGTCACAGGACAAAAAAGCCACAGTAGCCCAAATATACCTTTAATAAGTTTTATTGCCAGCAGTTCAGGAGCAGTTTTAAAAGCGAGATATAATCTAGTAATTAGCAATTAAAAGGCAGGTTAAAAGCAATGTTTAAATGGAATAGTTAACAGTCTAATCCTTAACCCAATTTTTGCAGCCTAATTCCTAATCCAGCTGTAACACACACTCTCCCACACACATTCACACATACCACTCACCCTCTGGGGCTGGCCAAACCCCAGGTAATGTTGAGTACTTTGCTTGAGTGGAAGTCTGACGTACATGTCACCCCAATATACCGAATCGATGGGCTCCAGCTCGTGTGGCAAAATGGTGTGGTGTATTGTGACGGCGCATCAGGGAGCCCCCGACCCTGCACCTCCGTCCACAGCCAGATGTGACGCTGCCAGCCAGTGGAATAGAAGGTTTATTTGCTTCTCAGTGTTACAGAGCAGCATGGGCTCAACATTGCCACAGGAGCCAGGGTAGACACCTTAGTCCTCTTGGGGGATAGGGGTTCACAGGCCCCTGAACCCCTGTCTGGACTTAGTCTGCTTCCTCCATGCTTCCCTCAGCCAAGACTGCCCCTTCTCCCAGCCACAGATCACTCATCCCCCCAGGTAGCCACCCCCTTCCTTTGTTCAAACTCCTTCCCCTGGCCAAGTGACAAGTTGCCAGGCCATGGCCTACGTGCCTGCCCACAGGGACCACCTCCCATTGGGCAGTGCACACAGACACACACACAGTCTCTGCAGACCAGCGTAGGCCAGTAGGGGTCACCCACAGCGCAACACAGCAACCAGTGACTGCCCAACCAGAGTGGACCTAGGGCCACAAGAGTGTACAGCCCCCCACTACGTCACATATATATCCCCTCAGCATGGGTCAGTCAGGTGGGACGACGTCCACTGGTTGCACACAGCCTGGGTGGGGTGATGCCATACGCTCCTTCTTGCATCTTGAGGCACCCAGTTTCCACCACCCAATTCTGTTTGCCTTACCATGAGTGATAAACAATGGACTGTCCTTGATTAGGTTCCTCCTTTGTTACTCCTTCTGGGAACGTTGCCTCCTTCTGCACCATTTTGTCTCCTCAGCACGCACAGTCTTTTCTTTCACACAGTTCTTTTTCTCAAAGTTGCAAACAAGTCCATAATCCTCGGGGGCACTGGCTCAAACCTTAGTATGGCCTCTCTTCAGCTCACTGTCTGTTAACCCACTCATGCCAACCATTCACGCTACCTATGATTCGTGACATATTCCCCCTGTTGATACCTGAGCCATGCTCACGGTATCACTACTTAGGTTAGACAAGCATTAATATTCATGCAGGCAGTGAAGCGGTACAAGAATAGTTACAGTTTATAACTAAGCTGCATAGTTCTCCAGATACATTGGCTTGAACGCACCAGTACTTCGTCATTTACAGCAGTCGCAGCACATCGTGGGAAACAAACACAACAGTACAAAAGTAGCAATGGATCATGCAGCAAAGCCTAAAATAACAAATTATAAACATTCATAAGCACATTCATATTTATATTTCACCAGGGGTGTTTGGTCAGGTCGACTACTTCGTTGCCCAATTGTTCAATCTGGTGGCCTTTTAGCTAAAACATGAATGTGGGTGGTGGCTGCAGACTGAGCTACTAGTTGAGCCTGTTGAACCACATTGGGACTCTTGTTTAAAAGTTTGGTTCAAATGGACGACTTTTGTGGAGGAGGAATTGGTAGATTGGGCATAGGAATCAAAATTGTAATGGTTTGGGGCACGGGTGACACTCATGCGCTCTGATGGGGATCGTTAATTACAACACCAGATACATTGTGGGTACACTGGGTATAATTATCAGTAAAATTACCTTTTTGGCCTAAGGCTTACCAGTTACAGGAACAAAAGGAAAAACTATGTAGCACTTTAAAGACTAACAAGATAGTTTAATAGGTGATGAGCTTGCGTGGGCCAGACCCACTTCCTCAGATCATATTCTGGAAGAGAATTGGCATGACCATATATACCAAAGGAAGGAAACATTTTTGCATGAGGTTGTCACATACATAGAGGAAGGTCCTATGTTAAGAACAGATACTTTTATTTTGCAATGGTAGGAAAACACAGAGACTCTCTTTCTTGGGGTCCAGCTCAGAGAAGGAAGCTCTTGGAGCACTGAGCTAGATGGACAGACCCAAGAACCCAACTTAATCTGCTGACAGGGAACAACAGAGGTGAAGTGTCCCAAAGTTGGAGTGGGAAGGGGTTTTAAGAGGGAGCCATAACCCGTCCACTGCTGACCAGGGATTCTCAGTCAACACGGGATGGTAGCTGGCTTGGTGCCATCCCAAATTTGTAGGCAAAGCAAGCCCTGCCTTGGCCCCATGGAAGTCCATGAAGGGCTATGGCTAAAATCCCAGTCCAAATTGGGGTCCTGATGATTCCAAAGAGAAGTTGCGCCGCTGCTCATTTGGGACACTGGATCTTTGCATCACATTTGCATTTGAAAATGGATCACCCCACAGAACTGGTCCCAGGAACAACAAGCTCATGTGGACATGGCCTCTTGAAGGAGCTCTGGGGTTAGGACCCATCCAAAGGGACGGCTGCTCTTTGCCACTGCAGAATGCGCAGCCACCCCTTGATGCACAGTGTTTGGAGCACAATCATCCACAGTTCACACAGAACCTGGGGCCCTCTGTCAGAATCAATGAGTGCGGGGGTCCCATTCTGACACACAACTTCCTGGAACAGTTTTGGCCAATTGGGCAGCTGTATGGGATTTCCTAGGGAAAGCCTGGACCCTTCCACTAAAGGAATCAATAACCATGAACAAGTTGATCTGTCCCTGGGGATTCCCAACTTACTTTACTTAAGAGCCGTTGGGGAGGGACCTTGAGAAAGGCTTTCTGGAAATCTAATTTCACTAGGTCCACTAGATCCCGCTTGTTGGTGGAGCCCCTCAAAGAACTCTAGTTTATTAGTAAGGCGGGATTTCTCTTTACAGAAACCATGTTGACTTTCCCTCAACAAATTATGTTCATCCATGTGTCTGACAATTTTTTTCTTTACTATCGTTTCAATTAATTTGCCCAGTACTGATATTAGATGGACCGGTCTGTAATTGCTGGAATCGCCCCTAGAACCCTTTTTAAATCTTAGTGTCACGTTAGCTGTCTTCCAGTCATTAGGCAGAGAAGCTGATTTAAAGGATAGGTTACAAACTAGAGTGAATAGTTCCGCAAATTCCCATCTGAGTTCTTTCAGAACTCTTGGGTGAATGCCATCCGGTCCTGTGACTTGTTACTGTTCAGTTTATCAATTTGTTCCAAAACTTCCTCTAATGACACCTCAATCGGGGACAATTCCTCTGATTTGTTATCTAAAGAGAATGGCTCAGGTTTGGGAATCTCCCCAACATCCTCAGCCATGAAGACTGAAGCAAAGAATTCATTTAGCTTCTCCGCTATGATTTTCTCATCTTTGAGTGCTCCTTTAGCATCTCAATTGTCCAAGGGCCCCGCTGGTTGTTTAGCTGGCTTCCTGCTACCGATGTACTTAAAAAATATTTTAAAATTACTGTTTGAGTTTTTGGCTAGCTGTTCTTCAAACTCCTTTTTGCTTTTCTTATTACGTTTTTACACTTAATTTCCATTTTCCTCAGTAGGATTTGACTTCCACTTTTTAAAAGATGTCTTTTTATCTGCCACTGCTGCTTTTACCTGGTGGTTAAGCCATGGGGGCACTTTTTTGGTTCTCTTACCATGTTTTTAATATGGGGTATACATTTAAGTTGGGCCTCTATTATGGCGTCTTTGAAGAGTTTCCATGCAGCTGCAGGGATTTGACATTTGACACTGCACCTTTTCAGTAAGGCTTAACTAGCCTCGTTTTTGTGTAGTTCCTCTTTCTGAAAAGAAAGTGTGCGTGTGGACCCAATGGTCAAGAGGTTCCCCATGGGGGTGGACAGATTGCTTCTTCACAATAGACAACCTGTGCCCCTACAGGGCCTCAGTCTGGTGCTCACTAGGCTCGTGAGCCCTCCCTTTCAGCCTCTGGCAACGTGCTCCCTTAAACACCTGTCTTAGAAGGTTGCCTTCATAGAAGCAATGACGTCGGCTAGCAGGGTTTCGGAGTTGAGGGTTTGACTGCTACCCCACCCTGCCTGTCTGCTTCAGGCAGTCTCCACATTTCACATGTTACAAGATATTTACCTTCTGGTATTTTGTCCAAAACCCAATTCGGCCCCTAAGGAATGTACTCTGCATTCTCTGGATGGCCTTTTCCATACACAGGACAAGAGGGTTTTGTAAATCCTCACAGCTCTTTATTTCAATAGCAGAAGATGAGGGGCCTGCTGGTATCTGCCCACTGCTTATCAGCACTTCCTGTGCTAGGGAGCGCTATGACCTTGCTGGTAAGGCAGCACCCCACGTCATGGGCTATTCTATTCGAGTACACGCATCATCGGTGGCCTTCCAGGCGCAGGTCCCCATATTGGGCATCTGCAGGGCAGCCACATGGTCTTTGGTGCAACGTTCACAATGCACTACGCGATTGCTCGGCATGGGGAGGACACTCCTCTTGGCACAGCAGTGTTACAGTCTATCTCCACGTAAGGTGCACTGGTCTCCAACCCCACCTCCTAGGGTAATGCTAGGGAGTCTCTTCATTCGAATGCACATGAGCAAGCACTTGAAAAAGAAAAAAAACAGTTACTGACCTAGTAACTTTTCTTCTTCGAGGTGTGTTGCTCACCTCCATTCCAAATCCCACCCACCTCCCTTTCATTGGAGGACTCTTGCAAGAAGGCATGGAGGGGGTGGAGGAGCAGCAGGGGAATTTATGCACAAATATACCAGTGCCACTCCAGGGAGCTCCCTGCTGGCCCGATGGGTACTGCTGGGGAAAAAAGCGCCAGAATCCATGCATACGGCATGCGTACACCTCTTTCGAATGGACACGAGCAACATCTCGAAGAACAACAGTTATGAGGTAAGTAACCGTTTTCTCCTGAATCAGGGCTAAGCGTCTTGCTTTGGTTAAACTGGCTGTTTCGTTTTTATAAGTAAGCTCCAGTCGGTTTTTATTAAAACCAACTTTTAACCTGATCTGTTGTTTTTTTCATAATTTTCTTGAATGCAGCCTTTTTTTCTTGGAGCTTCTTGTGCAGATTCCGTTCTCCTGGCAGCAGGGGCTCCTTATTGGCAATCTTCCTTACTATCTCTGCTACTTCCCTCACTTCCTGCAGTGATTTTATTCTTTCCTGGTACCCAGGCTTCAGTTCCTGTTGCTCCGACATGATCAGCAGGTCAATGTATTCCGGGGTGGACAGCGGGTTGGGTTTCAGAGCGATTTCTTGCAGACGTTGGAGGCTGCAAGATGATTTATTAATAAACTCCATTAATATCTGTTCCACTGCAGCGTATTCCTGAGACAGCTTCTCAAACACACTCTCTGTGGATAGCACCTCCCCAGACGCCGTCTCGTACTTCTCCTTCAGTTGTCCATAGGTCCGTTTCTCTTTCACTAGTTTGTATTCCCACCGGTACTTTTGATTGAAATGAACATTCCAGACACATTTCCCAGGGCACACCCTGCAACGTCCTGTGTTCCTGTCCATAGCCGCACACCTGCCCTTATTAGCATCATTAATCATCATACAGGGATAGTGACACGTAAAGTGACAGTTCTGGCAGTTGGTTATATACCGATCTGTCTCAGAGATGTCTGTTTGTACCGGCACTATTTTCTCCACCTCATACTCAAAGTTTCTATTGGCCTCCATATCACCCTTATGCTGCTCCAGAGCTTCCCGTGTCTTCCGCAGTTCTTCCAGCTTCACCAGGCCGGCTTTGATGTGTGGCTGCAGCCCTTCCACAGCCGCCTCCAGCTCCTTCCGCTCCCTGAGAACTTCCTGTGTTAATGTCAGACTTCTGGTTTCCAGTTTCGATAAAGCCCCGAAAAATGTCTGCATGCTCATGGCTCCCATTCTCCATAACATTTCATCAAAATTACAGCTGCCCTTCTCAGCTTCAGCATTACAGGCAAAGAGTGCAGAGTTATTGAATTTGAAATACACAGGGTTGCCCTGAGCATCCTTAGCACAAGGGACATCAGCTATTTTAATGGCCTCTAGCACAGGGGGGGGCTGCCCATCGGCAAAAGTGACCAGGATTTGGATGTTGTCTTTTATGTCCTTCCCAAAAATGGAGAGCACCGAGTCAAACACGTACTTCTGGGCGTGGGTCAGACGAGCTAGTGAGGCCTGAACCACAAAGCAGACGGCGTCGATGTGATCAATGGCCCCGGGGGTGGAGAAGAACTCTCGGACTTTCCTTATTATCTCTTTGTCATGATCTATCCCTCTGGTGTCGCCAAATCCCGGCGTGTCTATGATAGTCAGAGAGTAGGGGACTTGGAAACCCTTTGTGTGATTAACTTCATAGGCCGTCACCTCAGATGTCTGGCTCTCAGCCTGGCTTCTGTTTGTGGTCTCATGGATGAGCTGGAACCTGAATTCGTCCTTCCATTGCACACCCAGGACGTAGTTGATCATCCCGTTGATGAGAGTCGTTTTCCCCGACCCGGTAGCTCCCATCACCATAATCACTTTGTTAGGGATCTGCAGGGTCTCCTTCCCCAGCCTGTACTTTGGATGTTCTGCGTTAGAATCAAACCCCTTCTCTATGGGCAGTGCACACACCGCGGGCTGCCCTTCTTCTATCCGAGTGCTCTTCCTCCGCAAATCTTGTACTAGAACCTTTGATTCCTCTACCTAGTCCTGTCTTCTCCAATGGAAGGGTATAAACTGCGGGGGGGCCTTTTGTTATCAGAGACTCTTGTTTTACAAAATGTTGTGTTATTATCTGGGGTTTTGTTAGTGATGTTGGAGATTGCTTGTCTCTTGTCGCAGGGCTTTCCTTAGGGGAGTGAGGTGGCTGCTTCTTTAATTCTTTCCTCTTGGGTGTTGAAATCAGCGTCTCTTCACTGGGGTCACTCACAGCCCCGTCTGCACACACGGCCGAAACCCGGAATCTGTAGGGTGTCCCAGGCCTCAGTCCATCAATGGTGCAGGACTCGGTTCTCTGTCCCGTCCTATGCTCCAGCCATTCGTCATTCCCCATATGTCTTTTACTACCAACCTGCTCTTTATACTCCACCTTGTACTCTGTTATAACAGCTCCATCTCCAGTAACATTTGGACTCTCCCAGATCAAGTCTATGGCAGGGGGTGCCGGGGGGGCTGGTTGGAAGCGTTTTCACCGTGTCGCTCATGTCGCTGCTCTCGCTGAGCCCTAGTTTGCTCACAGCCGCGTAGCGGAACTGGTACTGGATGTTTGGACGGAGCCCTGTGACTGTTAGTGTCTCTTGTGTGTTACTGACATTCACAGCCACCCAGTTCTCCTGCCCGACAAGTCTGTACTCTGCCCGGTAGCCGCATATCTCAGCCCTGCCATAGGCTGCTGGGTTCAGGGGCACACGGTCATGTCGGACTCCATCACATGAGGGAGGACGGGGCTTTGATGGAGGCTCAAAGTTGGTACTCATAACCTCTCTGTTTTCATACACATATATGGAAGCGCCTGGATTGGCCTCGTCTAGAACAGAGGCCACAATGAACCGGGTCTTCCCATTAGATTCATTGGCACGGGCAAAATCAGAGAAGAAATTCACAGAGTCTCGAGCTCTTGTGTTTCCCTCTTTGTCCTCAAACCAGTGACTGGATTTGGGGGTTTCACATGCAGAACTGGCTGATGCTGGATCATGGGTTTTCTCTGCATGTGAGGTCTGAAGCCAGGCCTTCGTCATGCAATGAAGTGAGTGTGAGAGACACCACGAAGTTGTGCCCGGGGCTGAGAACTACGCGCTGTAGCTCATTCCTGGAGTGTACAACTTCGACTCCCTCCAATTCAGCAAGGTAAGAACTGACAAAATCCAGCTCTTCCTGTTTCTTATCCAGAAATTCATTGAGTCTCTGGGCAACAAATGGCGACTGCTCCTTGCTGGTTAAAATCTCCATCAGGGCCCCTTCCTCTGCGTCGCCCCCACGGATCAAGGGCAAGGTTCTCGCGAGCTCTTCCTGGAAGCTCTGTCTGTGCTGTTTGCACAAGTCTCTGCACAGCTGGATTTTCCTCCCAATCTCGGGAAAGGCTGTAGCCGCTCTGTCCTTCTCCATGTCGTTGCACCGGACGTCACACTTGGTCAGGTGCTCCAGGGCACTTTGTGCGTCATCAACCAGCACCGAGCTGATCTCACGCACAAGCTGAGCAGCTCTGGGATTCAGCTTGCTCAGGGGGTACAGCCAGACGCGCACCGGTACAGCCTTTTCCCCAGAGTCGCCAAGCAGCTTAGGGAGAGTCGAGTAAACTCCCAGGGCATCTTGCACCGGACGTCACACTTGGTCAGGTGCTCCAGGGCACTTTGTGCGTCATCAACCAGCACCGAGCTGATCTCACGCACAAGCTGAGCAGCTCTGGGATTCAGCTTGCTCAGGGGGTACAGCCAGACGCGCACCGGTACAGCCTTTTCCCCAGAGTCGCCAAGCAGCTTAGGGAGAGTCGAGTAAACTCCCAGGGCATCTTGATAAGTAACCGGATTGTTCTCCAGAGCAAAATCTCCGTAAAATTTGCAACTGAGATTTTCAGTTTTTTCTATTTCTTTGTTCTTCATTTCCCCAGATCCTTCTGCTACTCCTGAAACCTTTGGAATTTTTTCTACTATCATCTTCATTTTCCCCTCTATTTCTATCATATTCTCGGATGAAGAAACTTCCCGATTAAACACAAAGAAAGCCTGAGCCCCGTACAGCACAGCCGTGACCACGTGGGTGGCGGTACCTTGATCAAAGACAGCAGGATAAGAGATGTTCTCAGTCCCCAGATGGCTCATAGTCAGCTGCTCATACCTGGTTGTCACTGAGTAGTGGAGAGCAACTCGAGCATGATATTTTGATTTCTTAGTATCATTGAAAAATGCAGCAGATCCGCCTACTTCCACCAGGCCACCCAGGATACTGGCTTTCAGGGACCCAGACAGATTGAGGGCAGAGGCCTTATCTTCCATGGTGTCAGACGTAATGATCTGGAATTCAGTCTTGGGATTTGGCATTGTTTCCACATCTCTCTTGAGGGCTTCGATGCCCCATAAAGTGATACCTGGAAAATTCCACCCAAGCACATAGTCAGTGATCACTGGAGTCATCATAAGAACTGCCAGACTGGGCTAGACCAAAGATCCCTTTAGCCCAGAATCCTGTTTGCCAACAGTCCAATACTAGGGCTATGTCTACATTACATCCGTAGTGTACACTCCCTTTGGGACACCTATCTCTAGATTACATTTCTTTATCAGAAAATGGATGTAAATTAGACATATAGAAATTGTAAATGAAGGTAGGATTTGAATTTCCCATGCTTCATGGACATAATGGAGGCCGTGGATTTTTTCAAAAAGCAGCTTTTTGAAAAAAAAAATGCGGTTAAGATGGGGATCTTTCAAAATAAATGCTCCTTTTCGAAACATCCTGTAAAAATGAGGTTTACAGGATCTTTTGAAAAGGGGCATATATTTTGAAAGATCCTCATCTTAACCACTTTTTTTTGTTTTGTTTTGAAAAGCAGCTTTTTGAAAAAAAAAAGCCACAGCCACCATTATGTAAATGAAGCATGGGAAATTCAAATCCTGCCTTCATTTACAATTTCAATATGTCTAATTTACATCCTTTTTCTGATAAAGAAATGTAATCTAGAGATAGGTGTCCCAAAGGGAGTGTACACTACGGATGTAATGTAGACATAGCCCTAGTATTGGACTGTTGGCAAACAGGATTCTGGGCTAAAGGGATCTTTGGTCTAGCCCAGTCTGGCAGTTCTTATGATGACTCCAGTGATCACTGACTATGTGCTTGGGTGGAATTTTCCAGGTATCACTTTATGGGGCATCGAAGCCCTCAAGAGAGATGTGGAAACAATGCCAAATCCCAAGACTGAATTCCAGATCATTACGTCTGACACCATGGAAGATAAGGCCTCTGCCCTCAATCTGTCTGGGTCCCTGAAAGCCAGTATCCTGGGTGGCCTGGTGGAAGTAGGCGGATCTGCTGCATTTTTCAATGATACTAAGAAATCAAAATATCATGCTCGAGTTGCTCTCCACTACTCAGTGACAACCAGGTATGAGCAGCTGACTATGAGCCATCTGGGGACTGAGAACATCTCTTATCCTGCTGTCTTTGATCAAGGTACCGCCACCCACGTGGTCACGGCTGTGCTGTACGGGGCTCAGGCTTTCTTTGTGTTTAATCGGGAAGTTTCTTCATCCGAGAATATGATAGAAATAGAGGGGAAAATGAAGATGATAGTAGAAAAAATTCCAAAGGTTTCAGGAGTAGCAGAAGGATCTGGGGAAATGAAGAACAAAGAAATAGAAAAAACTGAAAATCTCAGTTGCAAATTTTACGGAGATTTTGCTCTGGAGAACAATCCGGTTACTTATCAAGATGCCCTGGTATCACTTTTCTAAGAGATTCTAATTGTCTACGTCTTTTTAATCTCTCTTCAAATGGGACCTGTCCCAAATCCCTAATCATTTTTGTTGACCTTTTCTGAACCTTTTCCAATGCTAATATATCTTTTTTTTTTAGATGAGGCGACCACATCTGTATACAGTATTCAAGATGTGGGAGTATCATGGTTCTATATAAAAGCAATAAGATATTCTCTGTCTTATTCCCTATCTCTTTTGTAATAATTCCTAACATTCTGTTTTCTTTTTTGACTGCTGCTGCACACTGAGTGGATGTTTTCAGAGAACTATCCACAAGACTCTAAGATCTCTCTCTCGAGTAGTTGTAGCTAAATTAATCCCCATCATATTGTATATATAGTTGGGATTATTTTTTCCAATATTCATTACTTTACATTTATCAACATTCAGTTTCATTTGCCATTTTGATGCCCAATCACTTAGTTTGGTTAAATCTTTTTGAAGCTTTTTACAGTCTGCTTTGGTCTTAACTATCTTGAGCAGTTTGGTATCTTCTGCAAATTTTGCCAACTCCCTGTTTACTCCTGTCTCTGGATCATTTGTAAAGAAGTTGAATATGATTGGTCCCAGTATGGACCCTTGGGGGACATGACTAGTTACTCCTCTCCATTCTGAAAATTTACCATTTATTCCTACCCTTTGTTTCTTGTCTTTTAACCAGTTTTTGGCCAGTATCCAGTTAGGTTACAAAATTGTTGCAATTTCAATTAATAAAGTTCCCTTGTGTTAAAGAGACACCATGAGCAAAAGAACATTCACACCAAGGGCTTGAATCAATGTGCTCTGTCATCTGACACTCCAATGGAATTGCTAGCTATCCACCTGGCTCTCTGGCTGATAATATACTAGTTTCTTTGTTACCTCATTCTCTCCCTTCCTCACCCCCATTTGTCTCACCTGTCTGTTGCATCTTGTCACAACAGAAATTTTAAATGCTTTGGAGTAGGGGTTGCCTTCTTACTGTCTAGAGTGACAGTGAGTGGTGGTGGGCGCTGATCTTCATGGGATTCATGTGCAGTATCACATAAGCATTAGCAAAAGTTTGATACTCTAAAGTGTCCCTCATCTCAAATACAAAGAGCTAGATGGAAAGCAGAATAATTGTCTATGGAAATCATGAAAGGATTTTTGTCCAGTAAGAAGCTATTTTTTCTGAGCTTTCTTGGAATTGTAGCCCAAGATCTAGTGTGCGTCCACAGCAGCCCTCGGAACTAAAAGTTGTAGACTACAAACCGCAGCATGTTGGGAGAACTTCTTGGTTCCTGCCTATTATTGCTGATGTTTGTCCTACATTCTGCCTTCCTATGTTCAACATCTACTATACTTTTCTCCACCCTCAGATTCCCTGGCAGATGAATCTTAGCATCAGGTTCAAACAGAACAGTGTATGGTTAGAATCCCCTGGGATGCTACATGAAGGGGAAAGGAGTCCAGGACAGCTGGCAGTATTTTAAAGAAGCTTTATTGAAGGCACAGAAAGAAACTATCCCGACACGTAGCAAGAGAGGCAAACATGGTAGGAGACCGGATTGGCTAACCGGGGAAATCCTTGGTGAACTTAAGCACAGAAAGGAAGCTTACAAAAAGTAGAAACTTGGACACATGACCAGGGAGGGGTTTAAATGTCTAGCTCGAGAATACTGGGCAGTTACCAGGAAGGCAAAAGCGCAATTGGAATTGCGACTGGCTAAGGATGTGAAGGGTAACAAGAAAGGTTTCTACAGGCATGTTAACAAGAAGAAGGTGATCAGAGAGGGTGTGGGGATGAGGGCAGTATCCTAGTGATAGATGACGTGGGGAAAGCTGAAGTACTCAATGCTTTCTTTGCCTCTGTATTCACGGACAAGGTTGACTCTCGGACTAATGCACTAAGTGACGCAAGATGGGATGAAGATGGACAGCCCTTGGTGGGTAAATAACAGGTTAGGAACTATTTAGAAAAGCTAAACATACACAAATCCATGGGTCCGGACTTAATGCATCCGAGGGTACTGAGGGAGTTGGCAAATGTCATCGAGGAGCCTTGGCCATTATCTCTGAAAAGCTGTGGAGATGGGGAGAAATCCTGGATGATTGGAAAAAGGCAGATGTAGTGCCCATCTTCAAAAAAGGGAAGAAGGACGATCCAGGGAACTATAGGCCGGTCAGTCGTACCTCGGTTCCTGGAAAAGCATGGAAGGGATCCTTAAGGAATCCATTTTGAGGCACTTGGATGAGAGGAAAATGATTAGGAATAGTCAGCATGGATTCACAAAGGGCAAGTTGTGCCTGACCAATCTGATTAGCTTCTATGATGAGGTAACTGGCTCGGACATGGGAAAGTCAGTGGATGTGATATACCTTGACTTTAGCAAGGCTTTTGATATGGTCTCCCACAATATTCTTGCCAGCAAGTTAAGGGAATGTGGATTGGATAAATGGACGGTAAGATGGATAGAAAGATGGCTAGAAGGCCGGGCCCAGCGGGTAGTGATCAACAGCTCGATGTCAGGATGGCAGTCGGTTTCTAGCGGAGTGCCCCAAGGTTCGATTCTAGGACCAGTTTTGTTCAATATCTTTATTAATGACCTGGATGAGGGGATGGATTGCACCCTCAGCAAGTTTGCGGATGACACTGAGGGTATGTCTACACTACCCTCCTAGTTCGAACTAGGAGGGTAATGTATGCATACCGCACTTGCTAATGAAGCCCGGGATTTGAATTTCCCG